ACATTCACACAACAAATACAGTGATACCCCAAGATGCGGACATAATTGGTGCATCAAGAGTGTCCCCAAGTTGAGTCTTGTTTTCCCATAGACTTTACAATTGTAGGATTCCAGGAGACAGGCATTTCGATGCAAAAATCTAATTCTTTTTAATCACATTTTACTCTCCATTTCAGTTTCTTTACCAAGGTTTCGATTCTTAAACTGGAATTTTTGCAGGCAAAAAACTCGTTTCGCCCAAACAAGGGGAGTTTTGCGAGTGAGGTGAGATTGTTAAACGGGAGTCCACTGTAAAGGGAATAGACAGCCCAAGAGCGGTTGAACAGGAAATGTTTATGCAATGTCAGGCTTCTTTTTGGCGAGGCAAATTGCAACATTACCCGCTCAGTCACACGGTTGTGAGTTCCTGTTCAGACGAAGTAATTTTCACAGGAGGATTCTCTCTTTCTCTCCACTAGGATACTCAAGAAACAGACATTTAAAAATTTTTACAGAGAATTTATCTAAATCCAGAGTTGCTCATGAGCCAGTTCCGGGCAAGAAACTCTCTGCCAAATCAAATCAGGAAAAAATCAGCGTTGTTCCAAGTACAGCTGAACCTGGATAACTCAGACCTATTTAGGTCGATTTTTTTTTCTTCAAGTCTCCACCTGAATTTACTTAGAAACAATGCATTAAAAACCTGTTGTCTTAACTAGTAATCATTCAAGATTTAAGAATTGTTGATCAGAAAAATTCTTCCGTTAATCTGAATTTCACCCGCAGTGACAGTGGTGTTGAAGATTTATATTGTTTTCCACGTTCTTTTGGAGAATCAAAAATAGACTTCAACAAAACTGTACAAGTGTGTCTTTATTCTGTTTCACAAAGCATAGAATATTATGAGCAAGAGCAACAACAAGGTTCTTGCAACAAGAGTTTGGTCAGAGTAAGCTTAACATTGTATACAGGACACTCCTATTCATATCTATGACTAGACCTATTCAACCAAGGTAAAAGGCATACAGCATAGAAGGACATTTAAAGGACGTAAAAGGTGCAGTTGTTCAGCTGATTAACTATGTGGAACAAAACATGGAACAGATGAGAGAACACAACAAAGTGCGGTATATTGTAGTTGTGATATTTATTGGACTAAAAACCTCCCCAATAACTTGAAGGCTTTTCCTATCAAACCTCCTCAACTTGAATTTTCTGAAGCCTTCTGACACTTATTCTCTTGACTCAAAAAAGCGAAAAGCAATCAAATACGTAACTTGAAGTGTTTTGAAAGGAAGTGAAAGACTAATTGGGCAGATGAACCCTGGTCTCCAAGTTCAGGATCCTTGTCAACTCGTTCAAGAAGCAATTTAAGGCCCAAAGTATCACCATTCTCTTAAATTCTTCGACAGCATTTTTCCCCACAACAAAAATGCTCATTTCTCCAACTCAAAACCTTCTCAACTCCATTTTCTTTTGCTGGTCAATTGAAATTTGTCTTGACAAGGTTCGACTGTACTAAACAGTACAGTACTGCATTTGTTCAAGCATTCAAATAATAAATAAAATGCCTTCTCTCTCGTCCGTTCTTACATGGCCTCCAGTACTGAACATGGAGAAGACACACTTCAAGTTCACTTTCTCGCGTTTTTTCAAGCTGGGTGGGCACAATTTTTTTTTTTTCATGTCAACGACGCATTGATGAATAACGAAAAAAAAAGCATGATTGCGACCAGCTCAGAAGACGGCAAGCGGAGTCTCAAAATTTCAGGACCACCCCCCTTTAGTTGAACAGAAGACATCGTTGTATCGGGGATTTTTTGGAGCGAGACCACCTGGAGGCCATTTATGAGCGGTTCTCTTAATTATTTTTAATTGCGTTAGCTGATGACAGAGCGGTAACCATTTGCCCATCCTCCAACATGAAATACTGCAATTTCGAGGAGAACCCCGGGGTAGCGAGAGAATTATACTTCAGGTCTTTTCAATATTTGAAAAACTTTCAGAGGATATGATCATTTTCCGGGCTTTCGGGCATTGAGCAACGAAAGCATTGAAGAATACCTCAATACCTTACATGACGAACTCTGGTCCGGCCGCCATTTTGCCCTAATCAACGAATTTGACGTGAGGAACAAACCCTGAAATCAAGAGCGAGAGAAAACGAAAAAAAGTTCCCAAAATTTTTCTGATGAACATTTCTATAGATTTTTCGCTTTGACATCACACAGACTCTCTCATCCCTCTCTACAACGATCTTGTCTGCACCAATTTTCACTGAGCAAGGAAATTTGTTTTTGGTTCCATCGTGTTCTCTACCCATGATGTTATCGATGTCCTCTACAATGAAACTCTCCGTATAACGATTTTTTTTCTGGTTCCAAGAATTTCGTTGTAGAGAGTCCACCTTTTTCCGATTGGTATTTCCAAATGGGGATAAAAACAATGTGTCACGCGAAATTTGATGAGAAATCATATTTTGAGAAAATTTGAATTCCCTTTATTTTTATAACTACAGTATTACGATGCCAATTATTTAAAAAACGAAATCATAATTGAATAAGGATAGCTTTGTTTTCTTGTCTCTTCCTGAATTTTACAGATCATCTGTCGTTACGGCGAATCTCGTTATAACGAATTATTGGTTACAACGAAATCGTTTTCCAGGTTCCTGGTAAATAGCAATACAGCCATGTTATTCAAAATCGCTTCATTACGAATTTCTCGTTATAACGGAACCCTTTCCGGGTCCCAAAAGCTTCGCTGTAACAAGATTTTACTGTTGCACCGGAACCAGTTGAATGATTTCCCAATTTCCCGAAAGTTCACTATGGGAAATAACGTCTCGGAAAAAGAGCGTCTTGAGCAACAAACCAGACACTGTAACGGTTTACCGCAAATAAAGAAATATATATATATATATATATTTTTGTATATCATTGTATCCCCACGAAAGAGGCGCACCCCATTTTTAGTGACCCTAAAACTGCTTTATTTTACAAATACGAATACCCAAATTTGAATTTAGACACGAATTGTTCCGGAATCCAACCAATTTTCAACGAATCAATTTTTTTTAAATACAATACGTTTTCCTGCCAGAACTGGTCAACAATTTCACATTACAATCAAATATAACGACAAACTAAATTTCAAAAACGTTTTTTGATGTAAACCCGCCTATGACGCGAACCCCTTTTTTTTTCCTCGCAATTTTGAGCAAATACGGTACAGTACGTTTGTTCCTCGAAGCCCCACTGCATCTTTTAACGTCGCTTCTCTGACGCTTCGAACGCGATAGACCAGACGGAAGAAAGCGCGTATGCAAATGGACATGAAACGTGGGAGCAGAGCAAGTTCGGCGGCTGAAGATGTCTTTAGTTGATATGCATGGCTGGAGCTTTCAAAAGCGGTAACATCTGGTTGCCTACGTACTTCAGCGAAGCTTCCTTCAATCCGATTCTGCTAAAACTGGTGCGATGAGTATTTATCGTGCTCGCATGATAACTCCCACTTCTAGTGCCGCGTCATAAATCGGCTTCATTTCATGGTGCATTAGTTGATACTTCTGCTCGGAGAAGCCTTCCAAAAATGAAATAAAAATAAAAAATAACTTGAGTGAGATTAGATTATTCATTCGCATATGAGCTCCATGTTTTTTTTTACCTTCTGTTGTTATTATTCAGTTCTGATTTGTTTTTTTTTACGAGACAGTTTAGTTGGAGTATCAAACCAGAAGTCAACTAAAAAAGCAAACTAAAAAAAATTCAACACAATTTTTGACAAGCACATTTGTACATTTTCCGTTTCCTTATTATTCAGTCTGATTTGGTTTTTTAGGAGACAGTTTAGTTGGAGTATCAAACCATAAGTCAACTAAAAAAGCAAACTAAAAAAATTCAACACAGTTTTTGACAAGCACATTTGTACATTTTCCGTTTCCTTATTATTCAGTTCTGATTTGTTATTTTAGGAGACAGTTTAGTTGAAGTATAAAACCAGAAGTCAACTAAAAAAGCACACTAAAAAAAATGCAACACAGTTTTTGACAAGCACATTTGTACATTTTCCGTTTCCTTATTATTCAGTTCTGATTTGTTATTTTAGGAGACAGTTTAGTTGGAGTATCAAACCAGAAGTCAACTAAAGAAGCGAACTAAAAAAAATTCAACACAGTTTCTGACAAGCATATTTGTACATTTTCCGTTTCCTGATATATAACAGGAAGAATCTCTCTACGACGATCTTGACAACACCAATTTTCTCTGCGTAAATAAATTTGTTTTTGGTCCAATACGGTTGTTTCCCCATGATGTTATCGAGGTCCTCTTCAAAGAAATTTTCCGAACAACGATTTTTTTGGTTCCAAGAATGTCGATGAAAACAATGTGTCATAAAAAAAATTTGAAGAGAGATCAAATTTTGAGAAAATTTGACGTATCTTTCTTTTTATAATTACAGTATTAAGCTGCCGATTATTTTAAAAACGAAATCATAATTGAATAATTACAGCTTTGTTTTCTTGTATCGTCCTGAATTTTTCCAGTTGTTCATCTCTCGTTACGGCGAATCTCGTTATACCGAATTATTGGTTACAACGAAGTTTCATGGTAATTTAGTTGATGCTTCCGCTTGGAGAAGCCTTCCCAAAAAAAAAAAACTTGACTGAGATTAGATTGCTCATTCGTATATGTGCTCCATGTTTTTCCTCCTTCTCTTATTTTTTTCAGTTCTGATTTTTTTTAGGGGACGGTTTGGTTAGCGACGGCGCCAGTGGCAACCGGCCCATTTTTGGACTCGCAAGCAAACTTGGATAAAATAAGAAACTTATCACTTCAATCCCAGCCTGCCTTTCTGGAATATCAGGCAGGTGTCACATGAATAATCTCGACTAGACGCAACTCAAGCGATAATGTATCTTCGAAGTCTGTCCTTGTGATGCATCACCACTGCGATCCGGAGATCTTGAGTCTCACTTACACGACTTCCTACAGATATCAAAATGACGACTAAAAATCGTATCAGATGAACATGTTCAGCACACGTTTCCTAGCTGAAATAAAATTCGGAAATGGCTCATTAAATTTATTAAATTTCAATTCCGCGAAAGAGCCTCATTTGATGCTATGGCGGCTTTTGGAGTCATGCAAAAATATTAGCAAATATGCTGCAGCTCCTCAAAAACGGCACAAGCTTGATTGTTTGACTTCCACGTGAAAGAGTGGGCTTCATTTAGAAAGAACAGTTCCCCAGCTCTCTATCCTTAGGATTGTAAGTGAAATTTGCCATTTAAACCAAGTACTGTACTATACAGTACAATGGTTCGAATTTGTGAATGACGAAAGATGAAACACTTGAATTGATTAAAATAGGAGAACTTGAAGAAAAAGTAGGAGAACCCTGGGGCTTAATCTCTAAATAAATCATTAGCCCAAAAGATCATAGCTCTCCAAGACTCATTAGCATTTTCCAAAATTTCTCGATGTTCAGGCTTTCTTTTCGTTTATGTTTTCCGAAGTCGGATTCCCAAATGTTTTCGCTAGCTAAATATTTTATACTTCCATAAAAATGCGCAAAGGTATTCGATTATCCGTGAATCCGAACAAGGGCTAATCAATAATTAGCTCAAGAAATTATAGCTCTCCTAGACTCATTAGTTCATCATTGTGTTTCCTTTCAACATTTATAGACGTTCAGATTTTCCTTTCGCTAGTTTTTCTTTTGGTGTCTCGAGTCAAATTTACCAATATTTACGCCTATCTAAATTTTTCCTGATTGAATACAAACTTTTAACAGAGTACGATTATCCGGACACGGGCTAATCAATCATTGGCCCGAAAAATCAGAGCTCTCCAAGACTCATTATTTCATCATTCTGTTTCCCTTCAAAATTGTTCGACGTTCAAGTTTTTCTTTCGTTGTTCGTCTTATGTCAAATAGCTTTTTGTTTCAAGTCGAATTCCCCAATATTTTCGCTCGCTAAATATTTTCTATTCGAATACGAACTTGCGACAGTATGGGATCATCCGTGAATTCGGACAAAGGACAATCAATCATTACCCACAAAAATCAGAGCTGTCCAAGATTCATTGGTTCATCATATTGTTTCCTTTGAACATTTCGCTATTATTTTTTTTTCGTCTCAAGTCGAATTCCCAAGTACTTTTCCTCTGTCTTCCCCATCGTATGCTCATCTCTCGACGTGAAATTGGCATTTTCCACCCTTTAAAATCCCCTTGACAAGCCTGACCACCACAAAGTTCCACGAGAAATGAAAACCGGCTTGAAAATCCCCGCGTGTCTGTACAGAAAGAAGGGCACATTCTCGTCGCGTCTTCTCGGGTTCAAGTCGGTGGGTGGGTGGGTGGCTGGTATCACCCCGCAATTCGACCCCAATCCGTTGCTGGACTATAGGGTCAAATTGCGAGACACTGCGTAAAATTAAGTAAGAGCAGCACACAACAACAACAAAAAAAACACTAGAAAAGGGGCTGAAGAAGGACGAATTGCGGGTCAAGCTCCCAGCAAATTCGACCGTCGAATTTTGAGGTACCACGTGTAGTACTGTAGCAGCATCATCATCATCATCATCAGAAGCCAGGAATTCAGAGACGGGTACTGTACTACAGTTGAACCCCGTTAAACCGCCCCCCGATTAACCGCCACCCTTGCTTCCCGCCACTTTTTCCTCCCGAACAAATCTTCCCAAGCTTGAAGGAATGGGAAAACCGGGTTTATCCGCCATCCACCAATTTTTTTTTGCCAAACAAACAGGATCTTGGCACTGTTTTTTACCCCCAATAAACCGCCAATTTTTGGCTCCTCTCTTCAAGGCTTTATATTTCTGGGAAATATTTTTTAAAATTATTTGTTTTCTCCATTTAAAGATGCAGAATGAGAGATTTATGTCCCCAGCTCCCCACAAAAAAAGAATGAAGAGTCATCTTCACCAAAAGCAAAATGGGGAGGGATAGAGGTTGAAACATAAAAAAAATCAAATACACTTATTCATTCATTAAATACTGTGGCAACCCCTCCCTCGTTAAACCGCCACCCCCCTTTATACTGCCGAAATTCTGCTGCACACACGTTGGCGGTTTAACGGGGTTTGACTGTACTACTGTAGAGGTGTACTACACGAAAACTAACCTGAGGAGGCAGAGGACGAGAGACAGAGGTCGCTGGCCAGCGGGTCCTTGGGCCGGGCCAGTTTGCAGGCCTGCAGCTCGACCTTCTTGAGCTTGGACAGCGTGAAGGCAGCCATGCCGGGGTCCGGGTCAGCGTGGGCGCATCTCGGGGCGGCACAGGCCTCCAACTCCCGGAAACTGTCCGACGGGCTCTGGGCGATCCCCACCGTCACGAAGCTCGGCGTCAGGGGACTCGAGTCCTCCGAGCTCTGCTCCACCTGCTGGCACAATCACAGAAGACACGCGCGCAGAGGGTCTTTCACTTCCTCACTCACTTCTGCATCACTCGAGCACTAAGTGAGTCAAATGACATCCTCTTCCTCATCCCTGCCTGCCAAAGTGTACACAACTCTCACTGCGTGTTCGCAAAAACTCTCGGCCCTACACTACTGTTAAAACTTGCCACTCTTTCGACAACTCGCTGCTCATGCGAGGGTTGGTTCGTAAGGTTTCAGACTTTTCGAAATAGATCCTTTGGGGTTCAAATAATTCCGAAGATTTTTTTTTTTTTTTTTTTTTACTCGCATGGCTCCATCGTTTGGCAATACTTCCGAGCTGTTCAGCATACAATGCCCTCCGCCGTTTCCGACGCATTTTTCAAGCGAGAAATCCAAGGATCAAAACAATGCCAAACATCAGTTGATAAGGCTTCCCTTTGATGGCGAAAATGAGGCTGTCCCTGTCCTCGAAATCAATACTTGTCAGGCCGTTTTTCACTGCCGGGAACAGCCAGAAGTCACAGGTTGCCTAATCAACTAACAGAACTTGATTTTTGGCACTGTATATTCAACAGCACAGAAGTGTTTCCAAATGTTGGTGCTATGCGAGTTGAAATTTTTTTAAGCTCCATTGGATCTATTTTAAAAAGTCCCAGAACGCATGAACCAACCCTCGTGCAATCGGTGACAGACATAAGTCACTGCATGTTCACGTCGCAACTGACAAAACTTGCCCCTGTTATGATTCCCCACATGAATTGCAGCAAGTTGTCAGCATACCTTTCTGTGAATGTGCACACTCAGAAAGGGAAACATTGATACGGATTGAAGGTTAACTATACCGTATTTATTTGAGTACCGCACGTCCCTGAGTAAGACACGTACCAAGGTTTTCCGATCAAAATTTGTCATAAAATTGTATCCCCAAGTAAGAAGCGCACCCCATTTTTAGTGACTCCAAAAGTACAGTACAATGCAGTATTTCAAAAAGTAAGAACACCAACACTTTGAATTTGGACGTGTATTGATTCTGAAGTCAAATAATTTTCACTCATTTCCAATAAAATAAGTTTTCCACTTAAAATTGGTCTCAAATTCCCCATCAAAATCGAATGAAATGCAAACCTAAACTTTTAAACCTGTTTCAAAAATTCATACCGGTACATGACAAAAAATTCTTCGAAATTCACTCAACGCACTCAAAAAAACTTGAAAATAATTTAAGAAATTTGCAGATGGAAGTTACAGCGAGTACGACGCTCACCCCACTTTTTGAGCTTAATTTTTTTGGATGAATAATGCGTTATATTCAAGTTAAAACCGTTGATGGTACTTTTAACCAAGCAGGTGGTACCCAAACACAAACACTGCCGTGCTTTGAAAGTGGCACACGCCGGAAAAGGGGTTAAAAAGCCTCGCAGCTGGCCTTTAACTAGTTCACTTATACCCCAACGATTCCAAAATTAAAAAAAACCCCGGATAAGGGTTAAGAATACTTTTACAACGAAGACGGGGTTGATTTTGGTATAAGGCGTACAGCCATTGAGTCTACAATGCTCCTCTGGATTTTTTAAGTCAATCAAATCTTCATCCTAGAAAAACCGTCACTCGTCACAAAAAATGGCAGAAACTATACCATACAGACTCTGGAGTACCAAAGAGTGCACAAATTATTCATTTTCTTTTAGTAGCATCATCTTCTCTAAATTGATTTCTTTTCTTGATGCAGAGCAAATTAAGGGGTTTCTTAATTTTCTTTCTTGACAAAATATGGTAACCACGGAAGAGATTATGAGATCGCCATCTTGCTTTGCAAAAATTGTCGAGATAAAATTTTCCGGAAAATTTCTCACTTTCGTATTTTTCACAGTATTTTTTCTCCCATTTCGTCCCGGTCATACTATAAAAGTACTTATACTTGATGATTTTATGATACACAGTATTTGATCAAGTACCAAGCGTACTTTTCCAACAACAGCAAAAAATAGCGAGAGGAGCACAGGCACGTCATACTGAAGTAAATTATAACGGGTTTTGAGAGAAATTCCTCCAGAATCTTTTTTCTTTCGTTTTTTTTTTTTCAAGAGGTGCGCTGTTTATGCAGGAACGCATCGGACTCAAGTACATTTGATTGAGTGCACTTTTTTGGACCACCCCAGGACCTAGCATTTTGATTCTCAATCTAGGACGCCACTGATTTTGAGACCCCATCAGACTTTTCGAATTCAACATGGGAACAAATCCGTCGTATATCAGCTTATAGTACGAGTTTTTTCAAGCTGTGAACTGAAAATAAATGCATGCATGGTGTCAAATTGTAGGAACGGGAAGTAGCGAACCTACAGACTTGAATCATTGCAACAATTTAGTGAGAATTGGCATTCATTTAAAAAAAAATTTTCCTCCTATGCTGAAACAAGGTCAATCAAAATGATAGCTTCAAATTTCAAATTAATAGCTGTGGGGTTCAAATGAATACAAAATAAGAAGTGGGGAAAATGTGCATGATAGGTGTGTTACATATACACGACACACACTTTGAGAATAGGAGACGTGAGGTGCAAAAGTTGGAAACACCATCGAACGAAGAGGCCGATTTTTCGGGTAAATTTGGAAAATTTCTCAAAACTCGTCATAAAATTGCGGAAATTTTCCCAAGCATACCAGATCATTTCAATAACTAGACAAAACAAATGGCACGCTGCAGAAGTGCGCAGATAGAGTTCGCAAAATAAAAGAGCTTTACAAAATCGAAGAAAGCTAAATGAATACGAGCTTCGTTGAAGATTATCCGTAAAACCATGCATGAAAGAAACGCAACTGATTTTGTGCTTCATTAAAACATCACAATAACATTTAAAAATGTTTCAATTGATGAATTACATAATCTAAGATAATCATCCAATCCATAATCAGAATTTGTCTAATTATCGCAGTTTCTTTTCTGCTAAATTTCCTAATTATTTCCTAATTCCAGAGAAAAACACTTTCACAAAGCTGAAAAATCGAAATATTTGCCTATTGAACTTCAAATGTTCATTAAAACATACAATACTTGGAAAAGTAAGTAATATTTATTGAATGCTCATAGAGTTGCATCTTACATTTTTGAGTTACTGCAATGCACTTGAATTAGTTGGAATGGATTTCCCTCACTACTTTTTCGGAAAAAACTTTTTTAAATGGTCGTAATAGCTGCAGTAGCGCATGACAATAGAGAAAAATATTTTTCAGAATTCAAATTTAATGTATTCCAAATACTTGGTCTAGAGGTAGGTTTTCAGCTTTCATCCTTTATTTAATCGACGCTTGAGAAGTTGTGAAAACATTTTCGGGCCATCTTCATAATGTACTTTTTTCCACAAAATTCTGCATTGATTCTCACGCAAGAATATCTAAGAAACTATAAATGCTGAAAAAGAGAATTTCGCATGACATTAAAGGTGCATCGATTGTCAATTAGATACAGTATTTTTTTTATCAAATAGGTGGAATGACTTTCGCAACAAATGAACTGTCGGCAAAAACAGTCCCAACACTTGTGCAAAACATCTTTCGAAGTACAATGCTTCAGAAACTACAAACGCTGGAATACGCCTTCACGGACTTGAAAATAGTAAAGCTGGATTTCACGTCACACTTTACGGTCGTTTCAAATACAGTACAGCAATAACGTCTTCCCGAAGCAATTTGAAATAAATTTCTTTTGAGCTGAGCTTCAGAGTTTGCAGCATCCATTTTTGGCTCCGAATAATGCTTGTTGAAAACATGTCCCTAAATTGCACGAGCCATTTTCGTTCTTTCAAAGAGACGCACGTTGCTCAATAGTCCATGAAAATTATAAACATTCGTGCATCTCGAGGGGGAAAAAAAGTCGGGAATGGATTGTAAAATTTTGACATCTTGGCGGGGGCAAAAGTCGGGAATGGATTGTAAAAATGTCGTACAACCGATTCCGTGCCTTTCACAACGCACGCCGAACGGTTTTTCCCCCGCCTACGAAAGAACAAACGGTTATTAAACCACCGATGTTGAATACAACGAAACCTGACCTGATCCGTAGAAAATGCCGCATGAAGCACAATCACGAGGAGACGGATTCAGGAGGAAAAAATTGGAACTGGGTGTGACAAGCAGGAAGTTGCGTGGGTTTTAGTCAGGAGCCAAACAAAAGCTCCTACTTCCCACTCATTGTTCTCCTGTTTGAATAAAAACTCATTGTGTTCCGGTAAACTGTGGGAAACGAGTTCTTTCGCAGTACAGGGGTCATTGGAAAAGTCCCCCCACATTGACCCACAGACGCCAGTTCGAAAGTGGACGCCTCGGGAGCACACGAGGGTCGTCCCGGTTGGACGCGACCTCTCACGTATTTTATTTTTTTTTAAGACGGTGTGATTTAAAAAAAATAATTATGATAATTTTGTGACACCGCCATTTATTTTCTCAGGTTCGGGGATTTTTCTTTCAATTTGTAAAATATATTTCAATTTACTGCATGATTATTTGTGAAAACTTTCCAGTTACAGCCAGAGTTCTCCACCCAAATCACGGAGGCACAAAAAGGGAGAAGTTTTTGTGGAAACACTGGTGATTCCTTCATGATGGCGTTATATTTTAAACGAACTCAAATGCACACAAAATCTCGAGAAACAGCTGTGATCTTTCATTAGATGTCATACGTTAAAAAATCTAATCCATTCTGCCTTGATACATACACTACTTTCTTCTAACGTTGTTGGGCATGCATGCCGGGTACAATAATGTACATTCTCAAAAGTAAAAATATTCCCCCCTCCTCAAAATATTTGAGCATATTTGACAATAACTATTCTTGCCTCTGAGTGTAAAGTAAAACCTTGTGAAGGTTAATTAATATCTGTCATATACTGTATAAGGAGCGCATTTCTTAGGATCATCTGATCAGTTTTATCAGCTGTGTTATTCCCAACTAATTCACATTTACTCCTGCATGTCGCAAATCGAACTTGTTGAGTTGTTAATCAGTTGTGTTTATTTGAAATATACAGTATCTTATCCCTTTAAACTAGGAATTCCAAAACGGAATCCCGGTCCTGTCCTGGACTGAATAACGCATTTTTATTCTATCTCGAAAAGCACTAAACATAAAATTATATTGAGGCCTTTTGTGCGCAATAAACATTGTTAGAATACTCCAGTAATCGGGAATGGACATGAACAAAAAATCGTTGCACATGAGAAATGCGCTGAAACGAAACTCTACCATCCTCAATATCTCACACAAACATGAGTGACATAACTGAATTTTTTAGACCCATCATCATTAAATGGACTCACTTAATTACCCAAGCTTTTTTTCGCTGCAGGGATTATATAAAGACTCACGAGTAGAATTGCGCGTCATATTTTATGGAGACGCCATGAAAAAATAAATAAATAAATGCCCACAGCGCTTAGTAAAAGAAGTCAGAGTGTAAACAAAATCTATTTCAATTCCATTGAAATGGAGTATTCAAAGGACAGCTGACTACCGCCATTTTTTACACTCGAAAGACTCGGGCCATTAAATCCATAACTGCTACTTACGGAAATCGTTCAACAGCGTTCCAAGACTGGAGAAAAAGAATTCAGAAACGTGCGTCAAATACACAAGATTAAGTGTTTGAAGAAAATTTAGTACGACTTCCGCATTCCCCGAGGCTCGGGTATCAATTCCATTTTACACGCGTGTTTTGTTCCAATGACTTTCTGGCCTTGGGAACACATGTTTGTATCATGGGCCTCGCAATGCTACACGACAAAGGCCTAGAAAAAAAAATGCTCGCTTCAGACGTAGTTTCAATTGCCTCTTTTTCAACACTTATTTTCGAAAATCCACCTCAAAATTGAGATCGCAAACTTGCGTTCCATCTACTTTCCTACACCTCAGAAAGACATCGGAAGAAGAAACGGGGTGTCCAATAGCTAATGCAAGCATGTCTGGTGGGTTTACACGCCCCAAAGATAAAACGAGAAAAGCAAAAAAATATTTGGATGCGTCATTGAAAAATTCTGAAGAGTATTGCTTTCAAGCGGGAAAAACTATATTATCCATTAATTCAAGTCAAATCTGGAAAAGCCACCTCCCTCAGCAACCGTCAATTTATTTTGAAAAAAAAAATATATCTTCCGAAACGATAAGATCATCGGAACCCCCGTCAAAATGCCATTCGCCAAATTATTCACAACTAAAATATGCCCCTGCCAATTAATTTAGTCTTGAACAGCAGCTTGCCAACAAGACGCAAGTTTCTGCAAGAGGTCTCGAATAAAAATTAAAAAAGAACCACGAACACACGGATGATTTAATTTTTGGGAACATTCGTTAGATATAATTTACGCATCCGAGGGTTCTTTTGATCGTTTTCTACAAGAATGCGGATTTTGTTTCCTATAATACTCCGTTTTCTTATTATTTTACCTTTCCTGATGAACCACCCTTTAAAAGGCCAACCCAGTTGAATCGGCACAAACCTAAAAAATAAAAAAAAACGAATGGTGGCGGCTCATTGCGGTTTGACTAATAGAAATTCCTTCGCTCCTCGTTCAACCCCTTCAGGAGAAATCCAGAACCACATCGACTTCGGGATGATGACACCCTTTCCAATTAGAACGTAATTCAAACTGTAAGCGATAAAACCCCGAATCAAAGATTCGAGTGACTGGAAAATTCCTCGTGACACCGATGGATTTAAAATTCTGCACGGCCACAACAAATTATAGGCCGTGCACTTCACATCCCCAAGATTCAAGTACTGCGCAGCACAGTTTTTATCTCCGAGGGTTTTTTTTTTTCAGGAGAAGGCAGGTGGTTGTATATCACGTCAAGGTGCGCAACAACCTCCAATACACAGACACGTATTTTTTTTCGTTAAAAAAAAAGGAAGACAACGTGGGAAAGTTAATTTATAGATTCAAGGGCGACGCGACACGGCGCAAGTACCTGCGGCGAGGCATCCGTCGGCGGCGGCGGCTGGGCGGCAACTGGCGGTCGCGGCGCCTTCGGCTTTCGCTTGGTGGAAAGGGGCGTGCCCTGAGAGAGATAAGAGAGAGAGAAAATAAAATTATATGCAGCACAACGAAGAAGGCATGAGGCGCCGCGAGACAGAAGAAGGCGGCAGTGGTGGTGGTTCTCACATGGTGCTTGGACGCGCGGGCGGCTTTGAGCCCGCGGAGGAGCCGCGGGCTCGCAGCGGCGCCACCAGAGACACTGGCGTCCGTCGATCCCTTGTTGCCCATCACCGGTGCTGGCGGTGGTGGCGGCGGCGGCGACGCGTACACGAAACCCCCGTCGTCGTCGAACTCCACGAACTTGAATTCAACCAAACGCCCATTTTCTTCTTCTGTCAGAGAGAGAGAAAACAATTATTGAAAGAAAAAAAGAATCTCGTGTAGGCGTATACTGGAATGGTCCAGTGTCCCCGTGAACAAATCGAGTGGATCCCGTCGCCGAACACCCTGGGATTGGTTTCAGTTCCCGCCACGGGACACAAATCACTGGACGGTCAGTTGAGCGGGTCCCGAAAACAAAGGAGGTACAGTAAAAAAAAAGGGACGTTTTCTCATAACAAAATAACGAGACAGCTCGGTTAGGTCGGGTTAATCAACTTACTGCATAACATTAATTGCAAAACGAACTACAGTACAGTATAAAACTCTCTCTGGGACCACGAACGGTGAAGTACTGTACCTTCACGGAATTAAATCCGCATGAATATTTTACTATCAATGCCTAAATTCAATAAAATTCTGTCACAACGACTCATACTACAAGGTTTTGTAATTATTTTATTACAACGCAAAATTTTCTGGGTCCCAGCAGTTTCTTCTTACACAAGCCATCTTATAAAAATTTCGTTCTAACGAACTACTGTATTTTTAAACTTTTAATCTCAAAATTATCAGCATAGCATATTTTTGGCCTTGATTACGCGTGAATAGGCCAACGGAATGTTTACTAATTTTAAGATATGTAGGAAAATCTAACTGACACAGCATGAAAAAAAAAAACCCTCAAAAATTAGATATTTCGTTAGTTTGTGCAGACGAGTCAGTATTGCACGAAGCACGGACGATGATGTCCTTTAAAAAATTCTAGCTTTATTTTACAATTCAGATATGTCTCATTTACTGAAAATCAAAAGCATGTTCGAAACGATGCTGCTCTATTTTTTTTAAGGAACCTGCAGTTGTAGATGAATCTGTGCTCTACTTATATTTGTATTTTTGTTTAAATTCATAGTTCAGAAAGATGGGAACATTTTAGGAAATTTGAAGCAGAACAGTTTTACGATACAATAAGTTTATTCTGCACGAAGAGTTGTTCGCTATTATCTCATCAAAGAAGAGTTGGAAAGGATAATTCTTCAATTATATGCTGGAGAAGCATTTCGAATTTCAAGGCATTTTTTTCCTGATTCCTACGTAATTTCAGTCCTAAATACACGACCCATCAATACTATATAACGGAATTTTCCGCAGGTCCCTTGCACTTCGTTGCCACGAAATTTTACTGCAGATAGCATTTTTTTTACGTCCGTACGAGTACAAAATTGGTCGGCACTGTCCTGACGAAGCTCTCTAATTAATTTATCATTTCATTTATATTTTACGTCCTTCTTTCAAGCGCACACAAAAGCCTTCGGTTCCACGCAGAGAAAAGAAGAACACGTGGACTCTCTCCACGACAATCTTGCCAACGGCTGTAACACGAATTTTTTGGTCCCATAGGATCCTGAACAGAACATTTTAATCGATCAAAACAAAATAAATATTCAAGGAACAGTTTTGAAGCTAGAAAAATAAATGCGGGTAACCACGACGGGATCCAATTGTTCTCGGGTGACAAAAGTCATTCGCACTTTTTAAAATCACGTCCACCACCACAACAGTTTTTCTTTCACTGCTGAGACGAGCAAGCACTTGATGACACAATGATTACACTGAGAACATCCGTCCCACAAATCCCATAGGGTATCAACTCGGATCAATTCACCATCACCCGGACATTCCCCAAGGACAGCATTCCAGTACACATTTTTTTCCAATAAAAATAAATACAACAGTTGGGTCAACCCTGGAGCTACACGCGTCAGCAAAGAACTAGAACAAATGAAGTAGGTACAGTATAGTGGAAATATTTACCTTCAAAATATTGACAAGAGAACGTGCATTCGAGAGGGACGATAGATTCAGAAAGGCAAACAATATATGTACAGCAGAATTCCGTTACAATGCATTTTGAAATACAACGAATTTTTAAGGGTCCCAACAATTTCCTCGTGCGAAACATGTAACGAATACCTAATTTTGACAAACATATTTTCATCCTGAATCTCAGTATAACGAATTATTTGTCCTGAATAAGTGCATGGGTCACGGGATGTTTGCTAATTCGATGAAAGAGAAAAACGAACTCTTCTGCATTAAAATTCGATCCAAAAAGAAAATAAGATAAGATTCTGCTACAGAAAATGTAGCATTCCAGAAAAGATGCAGCAAGGCTTTCTTCAAGAATTTTCTAGCATAAGATCAGAATTAAAATATGGCTTCTTTCTTTCAAATGAGCAGCACAATATTTCTGAAAGAACATTCCTGTCCAAAAAGAAACATGACGTTGTGAATGCATAAGTGCTCTTCTCACACTTGCGTTTTGTTTCAGTTCATATTTGGTTAAGATCAGTAAATATTCACGAAATGTAAAAACAGAAAGATTTACAAGTATTGGAATACAATGAAGAGACCCTTTCTGAAATCTCAAAGGATCAAGATAAACTGTTGGCCTTATAAGATTTCTCGTCAAACATCAAAGATTCTCTCTAATTTGTTCATTCAACTAAACCTCATACAGAAAAAAGCTGAAGACCTTGTTCTTTAAATTAATTTTTACATACATTTTGTTTCCAATGTCAGGGAATGAATGGGTGTATGCATACATGTCAGATGTCCAGTTGTATTTCATGGATTGTATTTTCTTTTATTTTTGTTATCAATTTATGCTCTGTTTCCTGCTCTGAAATGATCAGATGTCGTTGAGTGGATTTGGGTTGGGTGGGAAGGGGGTTTGGATGTGGAAATCTTGATTGAACCTTGTGAACGCTGAAAAGCGGCAAATAAAGTGTTCTGTTCATTCATACATGTAAAAATAGGACAGGTTCACAAACTAAAAGTTTATTTTATACTTCGAATTTGTCCTCAAGTCATAAAATAGTGATGGAAAAGATAAGTCCTGATAGTATACAGCATTTGTATCGTCTGTTTTCCGCAATACGTCAGCCCAAAATGCTCCAAAACCCGTGAGTCTCATCATAGCAAGTCACGCGTTTCTGGGTTTTCATTTCAACCAGATTTTACTTTACTGTACCCACAGTACATTTTATTGAAGTATTGTTATGTTCTAGTCGGACAACTCGATCGAAAATCCGTCGTACACCAACGGCTTTTCCGAAATTACTGTACCGTATTTCTCCAAAATTAATATCCAGTGAAACAACCAAAAACGCTTCTACGCGGAAAAACAGCAACAAAAACAGGAAAAAAAACTGCGGGCGAAAACACCGTAACTTGATACAGTATCCACTGAATTGCGCAATTTAAATCAGATTTTCAAAAATTGGGTGGTCCATAGCATGAGAGATGGTTAGGATATTTCCACGTCGGTTCACGGAATGAGGAAACGCATGCAGCAACACAAAAGTGGTTGCAATAATTTGAAATGAGAAATTACCGCCGCACAGCCAGATTTTTCACACACTTTTCTCGACTCGGACATCCTGGGAACTTTTTTCACGCTCATTTCTGATAACTTCCGAGTTAACTTTTACGATGCCTCGGCAAAATAATGTTATACGAATCATTTTACTGCACTTTATTTCGAGCGCGCACTTCAAAAGAAGGCTTCAGTATTTCGAATCTAAATAAGAATAAAATTTAAGACATCCATCGAATCGAAGGTTTGGAAAAAAAAATCGATAACAGTAATTTCAGATTTGCTCCCAGATTTTTCATCGATTCCGCAAACCCACAATTTTTTTTTTCTAAACATACAACGACTGCTCAAGGAAACAAGTAGAATCATACCGAAATTTAAAATATAAGTAAATGCTTCTCGCTGTTTCAACTAAGCATCTGAATTTGAATGCATCTGTCCATCCACATGGCGAGAAACATTTTCAACAAACCTTGGTCCAAATTTGCATGCATACATTACCGTTTTTACTCTAGTACCACGCGCTAGTACTTTACAAAATTAGCAGCAAAAAGCATGTACCGCGTCACTAGGTGAAAAACTAGATATATTCGGCTTTTTTCAGATGTAAATACATCATTTTAAAGGAATGAAGCAGCTAAAATAAGGCAGCTGATGAAATGAAAGGACAAGGATTAAAAGGCGATTGGATTCAGGCACAATTTCGATTTATATTCAATTTTCCAAGTCAATTATTCTAGGAATATCACAAATTTTCACATATTTAATAGTGAAGTGCAAATCTGAATTTGGGGATACATTTCTCGCCGAATTTTCGGCTTGAAATTGGAGGATGCGCGTCGTATTTGAGGGCACGTAATATTGCAGTATACAATATATGGTAGCATATTTTTAAAAAATTGACAGTGCATGATAAAAACGAAAAATATTCAATAACCGGCTTCACCTTCCATTTAAGTTAATATGTACTGCATTGAATTTTTGCAAGGACTCACAAAGGTGGAGTGTGCCTTCAATGTTGAGATACAGTGAGGACCCGACATGCGGACATAATTGGTGCTCAAACCTTGTCCCTATGCCAGAGCTTCCAGAGGTCGAATCTTGTTTTACTATCGACTTCAATCGGATCATATTTAATTGGTGCTCCAGCTTATCGAAAATTCGGAATAAAGTCCCCAAAAATTTGAATACAATTTTTTTCTCAACTTCAAGATGCAAAAAATGACTGGGCAGAAAAAATACACTAATCATCTTATCTTTCGGCATGAAAAAGGAGCGTAAAAAACAAGAACAACTCTATCTATACTATGCACAAGATGGAAAAACTCCGACAAAAAGGAGAAATCAGCCTGTTTTTGATAAGGAATTAAAGGATAATAATTTTACGCTGAAATTTGTCTTTGCATATTTTGAATATAAGAAGAAATAGACTGTACCTAGATTTTTTCCATATACAGCACATAACATTTAGAAATTATTCTTCAATCTATTCGAAAATGCTAGAAAAGATTCCATATTTTAAGACATTGTCCAGATGCAGGGGTAGATTTTTTTTTTCTCGGCTCAAGTGTCCTCCAGTCGAATCGTCCACATGTCGGGGTCCCACTGTACAGTACGTTGATCTCTACGGCTTATGCTTACAATTTTACCTACGTGTTTCCTTCCGGGTGCGGGGAGTAAGTGCGGTATAAAATACATCGATCACGTTGCCTGTTCATGTCCTGGATCTTTAATTCGAAGCAGTTTCAAATATAATGGGATTTGCTACTCTGAAGGTCTAAAATCGGTGAATAGTCTTACTTTGAAGTTTGAAAATTGCTGCTCAATAAAAAAAAAAAAGTACACCAAGGACCATTGGAGATCGGATGGGTTTAATAATACTGTACTGTACTACAGCATATTCATTACGTGGGGGTACCAAGGTCACCATTACCACTCGGGAGATCGTAAACTCCACGCATTCCTCGACAATCTTGCTTCGGTATGCGGTAAAAAAAATGAGAGAGAGATGCTCCACATAAAAAAAAGCTATCAACAGAAATTTATTGCGGAAAATATACGTCGTCCACGGCGACAACCGAACACATTTAGGATGTTTACAAACTGATTTCGATTGCGCATAACGATTGCGAAGAATGAGCCTGGAAAATTCTTGGTCTCGTTCCTTGTCCGCGACATTCACGTTGAAAACAAAACATAAACCGATATGCCTAGATTTATGTGTAGTGAGACCCGACATGCGGACGATTAGGCTTAGGGATTCTTGATACCACGAAAAATCTGCCTTGACATCTGGACCACGCCTTGAATTACGGAAACTTATCAACATTCCTAGACAAACGAATTTTTTTTTTCAATTTGATACCTCAAACAATTGAGAAGACACTTCATTATACATTCACTATAATTCATATTCCAGAGCAGGCTGATTTTGTGCCATCTTTTTTCAGTGTTTTTTTTCCATCATCTATCTATAGGAAGACTTTTGCTTCTTTTTATTTGCTTTCTGGGCTCCTTTCCATGCCAAAAAATGCAGATTATGCGCGGTTTTCTTCTCTACTGTTTACTTTGCATATCTTGAAAAGGAGAAATATAATTCTACTGTATTCCTGGGGGACTTTTTCCTAATTTTTGATGAAAAGGAGATCCAATTTAAAAAATTCCCAATGAAGTCTAAGAGAAAGCAAGATCCAACGTGCGGAGGTTCCAACATAGGAACATGGGCCAAGCACCAATTATGTCCGCATCTCGGGGCTTCGCTTTTCTTTCTGCTAGGCCATCAAAGAATGACTTGCCAAGTCAGTTTCTGTACATTTCTCAATTCATCACATGCATCCAGTACGCAAGGAATTTCTAGAAACTGCTACTCGACACACTTTCGGCATGCGTTGTTCGAATATCTGATCGAAAACATGTCAAAACTGTTGCGTTCGGACCCCGAAATGCGGACGTAATTGTTATTTGGACCCTGTCCCTAAGTCGGAATGTCCGCATGTCGGATCAAATTCTCCAATGGATTTCAATGGGAACACATTCAGCTGGTTATCCTGAATTCTGAGTGAAGTTCCCAAAAAAACTCAACTTAGAGATACAAAGAATAACGCTGCAGAAGAAAACCACACAGAATTTGATCTTCGGGCAAAGAGCAAAACAATTCTAGCTATTCTCTGCACACATTAATAAAAAACTCCCGGGAAAAGAATAAAACTGGAAAGTTCTTGATTATGAATTCGAGTAATTTACAATGAACTCAATTTATAATTTTTGTAAATATAAGAAGCTCAATTTAGTCAGGAGATATCAAAATTTAGAAAAATAAAATGTTTCGATTTCTCTAGAAATGATAGGAAAATGTCCGTATCTCGAGATATTGTCCGGATGTCAGGGAGGATTATTTCCAGGTTTAAGTGACCCTAAGTCGAATAGTCCACATGTCAGGATGTCCGTATCTCGGGGTCCCATTTTATCTGCCTTTCAGAAATTCAATCAGCTCTACTTGCCAGAGGTAAGTTAAAAATGCTGCTCTTAGCCACGTGACTTGAAGGAGACGAAACCTTGTCCACAAAATTCGGGATCCACGAATCAAATACAGCTAAAAAATAATAATCCCAACAGTACATTAATTAAACACATCTGCGTGATATCAGAACAGTTTCAGCTTTCAACGAAACCCAGTGAGAAAAAACTTTTCTAAGGCATAAATTAAAAATGTTCGCCTGAATGGAAATTGCGCATGCGATTTTTTCACGGTGAAGTCGGTGCAAAAATTTAAATTTCGGAGAAAAACAACACACGCATAAAACCCACCACAGCTGAAATCCTATAGAATTTACTGTCAAGTTTGCAGAAAAAACAAAATTTTCAAGAGGGATGGTTCCACAAAAATTGAGTCCACGTCAACGCTGTAATGATCATCATTCAACCAAAAATAAGAGGCGCTGTTTCTCGATTTTTACGTTGTAAATCGAGAAACATTGCCCTAAAAGCCACGATATTTTTTACTGCACAGAACTTAGATTATGATACGTACTCAATCTTTGCTGAATTTTGGATTTCGGCAATTGCGCGTGATCTTCGAGTCAACTGAACTATTGCATCGCACAATGCCTTTTATGCCAAAAAAAAAGGTATTTCATTCCGTCAAACAAGGTAATTCTGGGATTTGTGGAACGTGGCAAAAACTTGGCAGGGTTTATCCATATACTGTATTGGCAAATTCCATTTTTCGGGATTCCGAAAATGTCGACCCCAATACAATCAATCAGACAAAACTGAAACACCATTTAACCACCCTTATCCCAATTCCGGAAACTTTCCTGGGAGAAGATGCAAGGTTCACTGAGATTCGACTCAAACCTCAACTAAAGCATTCTGTACTTAGATACCACCCTGAAATGACTTTCACCACAGAAGTCGATCCTTTGTAAGCATGAAAAGAGAAAACCATTCCAGAAACCATGAACATGTGAAAAGCCAAGAAAAAAAAAAAAAAGAGACGGGCGCAACACTGACCTTGGCACGATTCAGGATATCGAGGCGGACCCGAACACAGGACGGGAGAAAGGCCCCAGTCCACACTGGGATCTTCAGTCCAATAGAGGAATGAGCTGTGAGAGTCTCCGTCATCATCATCATCAGTGGTGTCATTGACACTGATGTCGTGATGGCTTGAAGTGTGCCTCAGAGCCATTGATCAGCACTGCATGGCTTAGATGCGTCATCCACCTCCGGCACCCACGACTACTGCCTGAGACACTCACGCGTAATGCTTAAAAGCGTCGTGAATCCCATCTCTCAAAGCCTCGCACAGGTGTCGCTCGCAAGTCACGAGGCCGCCGGCATAGGCAATCCCAAGCGCAATGCTTTCACTTTCACCATAGGCACACGAGCAACAAGATCACACCTGCACCTGGAAAGATGGGCTTTGGGTTATATTTCTGAAAGAAATTTTAAAATTGGTTCTGGTCAGAGACAAATCTGGACCAGAACTCACCACATTACAATAAGCAGATGAAAATACAGTACGGTATTCGTGCATGCCATGCCATCGATCGAGTTGCACACACACACGCGACGACTGGCGATTGAGCGGATTCAAGTCACACCCTAGCTTTGGTTTCAGCATTTAAATACGAGCAGCCCTAGACTATGTACCAAACAAAACCAGTCCAAATCATCACGACGAAGCAAAAATCTATCGAGCGCCATATTTGGCACACAAAAAACGCAGCGGGACAAGAGTTGTAGAGTAATAGCTTTTGTACGTCAAGTTTAATTCTCAGAATTAAAACCACACCATTTACACATTATTTGAATGGGCTTGAATTTTCATTAGGCAAAATTTGTCTCGTCTTCCCCGAAAAGAAAAAAGCGTATAAACTGTTGAAAACTTGAAATTCCAGAATTAAAACCATAATGCTGTATTTTCAAAATTAAAGAATCAGCTTGAATTCTCATCACGCAAAATGTACATCGTCTGAACCGAAAAACCAAAGAATCATACGCAAAAGTTGAAGAGGGACATTTCATTGTACGATTCGTAAATGTTGTCCCTCACCAACAAAAAATGTCCATCTAATTCGCTACAGCAGTTGAAGATAATTTAAGCGGCGTCTGCGATGTAACAAAGACTTAGAAAAAAGCACAGGAATTACAGGCGAACTAAAAATGGAGTAAGACACGTTTCATCATATTTACAATATTTTGAAGTGTAGCATAGAATTCCTCGGCGAAAAAAAAATCCTCGAGGAATAAGAAGAGATATTATCCATCAAAGCGTGTATCAAAATACCGCGTACCGTTATACAGTAACTTGCAGTCAATTTTTCAATTTAACGTCCTTGCCTGCTCGTAAATGTTCAAGTGAGCGCATGCACATGCACAGTACTGTACTACTATTCGTTCTCATATTTCAATCACGCTAAATATGCCGAGTCGAGAAAAAACCGAACCAGGATGGAAAATTTCCAAGAACACAACAGTAATACGGTGCAGTGTTCGCTCCTGGTAAGTACTTCATGGTTTTTGCTTTTGAAGATGCTGAAAATTCCTTAATAAAAAATTTAATTTACAACTGATTCTTAAAGGCTCTCCCAGTAATTTTCTCATACGAACCAAGAATCGTACATCAACAAACTTACTTTTACCTAGTAATATCGGTAAAACGGATTTTTGGCCCTGAATACGCGCATGGGCCGGAGGAATGTTCACTATTTTGCAGAAAACGGCGAAATATACCTCGTGCAGCATTTACGAGTTGATCAAATCGAAGAAATGCTACGATTTCTGCGCAGAAAATTGTTCACCGCAAAAAAGAAAAAATTCGGCATGATATCCGTCCCACAATATCTTCGTTAGCAGTTCAAGAGTTTCGACAGGAACACAAGAGAACTTCCTTCCTCGTTAAAAACATTCGAAGTGCTCAACCACATAACGTGGTAAAAATGGGGGAACGGGAACAAGGAAGTCGTATCGCGATTGCAGAAAAAACGCCTATAAAACTAATAAAACGCAATCAGAACGGAAATTTCGGTCAAGTCAATTTGATAGTATCAATGAGCCAAGAATAAACAGACGCATTCGAAACCACGATTTCGATTTCAAGAACAACGTCTGCACGTTGCATCGCTGATCCCGAAGTAATTTTTCTCGCTGAACGTAATCAAGTATAGTAACATACAGTACTGTACTGTAATATGCGTTGACATCAGCAAGACAAACACAGCGGGACCTCAAAATACGGACGATTCGATTTAGGGACACTCAAAACTACAACAATCTGCCCCATTATCCAGACAATATCTCAAGATACCCACACTTTTCCAACATGTCTATAGTGAGACCCCGAGATGCGGACATAATTGGTGCATCAAAAGTGTCCCCAAGTCAAAATGTCCCTAAGTTGAGTCTTGTTTTCCCATAGACTTACATTATATAATTTTTAATTTCTGTTTTATCGAGGGAATACACTTCAGAATTCCATGAAAAAAATTGTTTGCCACTTGAATT